TATTATACATGGGTGATTGTTTGAATATATTATAAAATAATACTTTCAATAGCAAGCTTAATGACATACGGAAAATACTAACTAATTCAAGTTTGTATTTTCAGTAAACCGAATAAATACACGCATTGGATGCTGTATAAAAACATGCTTTCCTTTAGAAACTGCCGTTTTAAATTTCAAGGATATAAGCTTCCTTTGTATGATTATTTGATAAAGCTAGTATTCATTTTAATAGCCTTTGAATTCAGGAGATATATTCAATAAATAGTTTAGATATTGCTATTATTTTAAACAAAAATATTAGCACCTCATTTCAGATATATTATATCGTTTGAATTCCCATTGTATTTCATATAAACATATGTTTTGTCTTAACAGTAATTAAGTTTAAAGACCAATGTACCAAAGTTCATTTAAAAGTTGATTTAATAGTAATATGATATTTGTTTGAATTTTAAGTGGCACTCTCTATCAATATCAAATATTTAATGGTTATTTAACTCGGGTCAGCATTTTTAAAACTGAGTATTTAGTTAATATGTACTATTAAAATCTCAGAAACTATAGACTAATTAATTCTGTTGATAAAAATGAAATATAAAAAATATATAATAAATTGAATAAATTATAACATTAATTTAAGATTTATGCTTTATATGTATCTATATAATATGCTGTCATTATAACAGGGAAGCAGCAATTAAATAATGTATAAACTACACAAAAACTTTACTAAACTATACAAGGAAGCAGCAATTAAATAATGTATAAATTATACACATTGAAAATTTAAATTTAAATTTAATTTAATTTTTTTGTATTAAAAAATTTTGAATATTATAAAAAAACATACGTAAAAATAATTATTAAATTCTAATTAATTCAATTATTTAGTGTTCCAAATTATTGTGAAAAATTGTGATCACGATTAAAATAGTTTATAGAATTGTTAATACTTTAAAAAATAAATGTACAGTTTCATTAACATTATGTAGCAGCATTAAAAGTTTTATTATATTTTATCTTTTATTATTGTTACATTTATTGTATTTTTTTTTCAAATCCGCTACTGTTATGCTTGTTGCATTTTAATTTAATGTTCAATCATCGATTTTATCTACAGTGAAATGTGTCGCTGCCGTCTTATATTAAACCAAAGCGGTGAAGAAAAGAACACAGAGAAATGATTGAGCTTTCGAATACCTGACTTCAACGTCATGCAAAACGCATGGCATATATGTTAATGTTCAATATGTAGTAGTATTTATATGTCCGTAAGTAATATTCAGTGTTATACACGTACACACATACTGTACGCCTGAATAGTCGCTTTAATAATTATTTCTGACCGATTTCCACAAACTGCTATCACTGCTGCCTGACGCTGTGGGTCCGTGTAGAATGGAAAAAAGTAGGTCTTCAGTTTATTCATGTCATTCTTCTGTACATACGAGTATACGATTTGTTACGAATTTTATTTACTCGTAATTGTTTGTTTCTATTAAAATAAACTGTTCCACAGCCAACCGCTTCTTAGAGAACAGAACGAAGAAATGTTTGCTCATTGGACTAAACTTGCCTTACACACGTATTCATATAATTACATAAGCTGATCTACCACCAAAATGTTATAGCATAAATGTCTGTTTCTTGTAAAAAGGATACAATGTGTTCTACTAAGCACAAACAAGTTAATAATTAACTATCAACTAGTTTTAACATATATATAAATATCTATTTACTTAGTTGTTGCTAAAAATATTCGTGCGTATCTATAACATTTCGTAGACAAAAAGTTGTACCATATATCTATCTATATAGTAGCATAATTAAAATTAAATCTAACTTTTTTATAAATTGAATAACTAAAAGCAATATATATTTTTTAAGTTTAGGTGAGTTTCTAATTTCTTAAGTAAGCCACAACACCTGCGAGATGGACTATCGCTAGTATCTACCATCTAACGTCTTATTCCACAATGATTATTTAATTGTAAATTAAACCTTCCCCTTATTCGCTATCCTTGTAGCTGGAATTATTAATTATTTTATGCAGATTTTTAGCTCCTTTTTTACATATGTTAAGTAAATCAATCTTAGGATTGATTCAGTGAAAAAATATATCAGAGACAGAGCTTTAAAATTATTCACTAAAGTTGATACGCTAATTAACCCCGCCCTAACAATCCTCAAGTCCACTTCTGGACTCTCAGGAAGCCCCCCAGCCATTATAGAGTAAAAGTGCGTAATAGCACTAACTCAAGAAGAAGAAGAATCAAGAATCAATAAGGTTTATTTGTTCTTTGTTTATTATTTTTAAATATGGACTAAAAATTATTTTTGGCTAAAGGATTAAAAGTGTTTCAAAGTCGTTTCTCAATTCGGCTCAAAATATGCACCTAGGAAATCGTTATTGTAGTCAAAATTTGAATACCTTTTATTAATTATTATAATTTATTAATATAATACCATATTAATATTATATGACATAATGTCATCGTATATATTTATATATTTCTAAAGTATAAAATTACTATTCAAACTAATATTTTTTGATCATTTCTGATAAGATACTAATATAATATATATATATATAGAAAATATATACCTTTTATTCATTTTTATAATTTATTATTAATATTATATTACATGATGTCAAAGTGCATGTTTATTTATTTCTAAAATATAAAATTACTGTGCTAACTAATATCTTTTGATAATTTCTGATTAGAAAATATATGAATATAGTTTCTTGACAGAAATATAAATTCCTTAAATTTTCTATTATTTTAATTTTCTACTATTTAATAACCCTATTCTTAGGTGTTTTATTGTTAATAGCATATGACACAATTGAATTCATAATTAGTAGTGTATCCTTTTCTAATAATAATATACAAAATAAAAATTAATACTAATGGCCGACCACTGGATCCCTTTTTTTGATTTTCTCGCAATTAGTATGGTATGTCTAGACACAATAACCGCAAAACGAAATATATTATATATTCAATGTATGGTACAAAGAAATAAATTATATAATAACAATATCAATATATTTAAAGAGAGATAAAAGCTAAAGTCCTTCTATAAGAAGGAGTAGTTTCCGAAAGATACAAACTTTTTTTTTCCTGAAGTATTTTGACATATAAACTGCAAAAAATGTTTCCAAAATCGATGTATATATATTGCAAAACAAAAATATCGGAATATGATTTCCGTAGACAACGGTTTAGAAAACTTTTGTATAATTATTAATTTTTTTTTTTTGTTTTATTTTTATATATTGTGTTTTTTATGATATATTTAATAATATTTGTAAATATATATATATATTTCTATTTTTCTAATTTTAGCACAATCTTCTTCTGTATATAAAAAAATCTTCAGCTTTGTTTACTAAATTATGTAGTTAAGCCAGATATTGAAAATATACTAATTTCATATTAGACTTATGTTTTTATATGCAGTTAAACTTCCATAATTTGAACTTCTATAAATCGAATTTTCTATAACTCGAACTAAATAGAGTGCAACAGGGATTAGAGAGCACATTACATACAATTACAAAAAAATTCTAAAGTTCTAAATTAGTCGAACCTTTTCTTTACAAAATGGTTCTTCGAGTTATTTAAGTTTCACTATATTAATTATATATAATTTAAATTAAAATCATAGAATCAGAATAAGTAAAATATCTTTATTTCGAAATGGGCTTATTGTGAAATTTAAAATATGATGTTTTAATTAACAACTAATCTAACTAACTAATCTAACTAACTTCTGTTTAACCATTTTAATTTTGTCAACTTTTTTCAATAAAACTTATTATAATTCTATTATTTTATTACTATTAATGCTATTATGCAAAGATTAAGCCAATAAGTCAAATAAGCAGCTAGTACTTTCTTATTTTTAACTCATAATTATAGAAAGTTAGTGATTAATGCATACAAGGTTTTAAGAAATCAAAAAATATTTTAAGTTAAATTTTTAATTCACTTTGAATTAAATAGTGATAGGGTTAAAAAAACTATATTTTCACTTCCTGTTATCATTTTTTATCCTATTAAAAATCTTTTTAATCTTATCCTATAGTACAATCTTGAAATGTTTAATCTCTTGGTGCAGTTATGCCGATTTAACACACTATGTGAGAAGCATTAAAAGTCAAAAGGAAAGCTACAATATAAAGAGCGCATAACTAATCAGAGAAAGGAACTTAAAATATGCAAATATCACAGGTATATACATACATATTAATTGTAATTTTTAATCAATTTAAATTTAAGAATTCAATTAAATAAAATAAAATCGGAAGCAATTAAATATAAGTGTACAAAAATTAATCAATCAATGACACCATTATGTCAATAAATGAAATGAAAAGAAAATGACCTACTAACAAAACGTACTAAAAACATTAGGACCTAGTTTTTATAAACCAATTTCTATTGCTTTCTAAAAGGAAAAGTAAAATAAAATTTTAATTGCAAACTTTATGTAAGTTGCTGCCATAAACATCCTTCGAACAAAGCCATACTTTCATAAAATCAACAAAGAAAATTTATTGCACTTTTAAAAACGTTCCGTTCCGTACACCACAGAAAGTCACGAACTGTGCTTTAGACACTTTAAATTTTATATCTCTGAAAAATTTTAATTTTTGTATTTTGTATTTTTTATTTTTATTATGCGAATAAATTCAACTGAATATGTAAAAGCATAAAATTCTAGTAACTCTGTAGAATGCAACAAATGATTCCTGTGCTTGAACTTGCCACAAAATGAGTTCATACTGGTTTTGATGCTGGGGAACTGCATAGTTGCAGTGAGCAGAAACTGCAATTCACTGAAGATCATTTTTATTAAGCATGGCACAAAATTGATGCTGCCAAACGTGATCACATTTATTTTCATTTTAATCTTTATTATACTATATATAAATCTTTTTCATTTACATTATTTTCTTATGTATTTATTTTAATGGGGTCACTTACTTTTGTTGAACTTCTCCTAAAGCACCGGTATTCCATTTTGTGATTTGTTTTCTTTAAAAATTCTTTTATATCAAAGTTATATATATATAAAAATATTGTATCTAATTTTAAATAATTTTTTTTAAGTATCAATGTAAATTTCACTTTTTATTTTGTAGTTAAGGATCTTAATTATAGTAAATTTTATTATAATCCGCAAATCAACTTCCTAACCAATAAACATTTACGATTTCCGTTTGTTATTACAGTAATGTTAACATCAATTTTATGACAGTAAAGTTAATTAATTAAATTAAAATTAATTATTTCCTATATTGGCGTTTAAATTCTATATGCAACATTTCAATAACCGCGTAGATTTAACATGAACACAACATAGAAAAAATCGGAAGTTTAAATAAATTCAATTTAATAGAAGGGCTTCAATCAAAAAGTCAACGAATTTTATAAACGTTTTGAACTGATCTAAAGGAGCGCACCAAATTTAAAACGAACCGAACAAGTCAACAGCTCACCTTGGACTGGCAGACCAGGTATCTTTTACCATTTCTTAAGCACTTGGCTTTGCGCTATAATGTTGGTTCTTGTCATTTTCCAACGCTGATATGTGTTGCGTTATTTTTTCTTTCTTCTTTCACTGCATCCGCACATTCAGTTTTTTGAAATTCAGATTTTATTCAATGGTCTTAACTTATTTACAATGTCTTCTTGCTTCTTCGAACGTGTAGAAGAAGAGGGCCAAAAACCTCAAAACGTTTACACCGTAAAAAATTTTTATTGTTAAAAAATTTATGCATGCTATAGTTTTTAATTATAAATCAGTTGCGTGTGCATTAAAAAACCTATTCATTCGGATTCAAAGTGAATCGAAAACAATAAAAGTACGATATTATTTTATCGGTTTTAATTTATTTATAAAAATTGTTTATATACGGTCTAGAAACTATGTATATTATCCAACTATTTTCTCTGAATTATATTTTTATATATATAAAATTATATTATATAAGATATAACAAGAAACATATAACCTTAAAAAACATATAGATTTCTATATGTTATATATGTCATATAGATTTCTATATGTTTTTTTTATTTCAGTCTCTAAGTCTTTTTTATTTAAAAAAATAGCTTTTTATTACATTCAAATAGACCAGAATAGAAGGTGAGTTCCAAAATAAACAAAACATTTTGAAAATATTTTTAAAAATATTTGTAGTGAGTCTATATCCGGTAAAGTAGAAGTTTCCGATACATTTTCAAAACTTCAAGAGATTTAGACTGATCGAATCAAACGGAATTATTGTGTCTGAAATGACAGTATGTTTGTGTTATCAGTACGAAGTATCAAACAAATCATGCGTTGATTCCAATTGCGTTGGTAGTGTTTCGATTTGCGTCGTTTTTTTTAACACATGCGTACAGATGGGATTAAAATTTTATTTCTTATTGGTCACATTTTTTAAAAAAGGATTTATATGTATTAAATATTTAGTCAAAAGATGTCAGTTTTTATTTATGTAGTAAAATGGAAAGGTAAGTATCTGCTTTATAAAGTATAAAAATGAGTCAAAAATGAAAACAAATTTCCTTGAAACAAAAGTTAGACATTTTAAAATATTTTTAACTTAGAGAAAACCCTGCTGACATTGGGAGATTCTGGATTTAACTCCAACTACTGTAAGCAATTTATAATCGTAATGCTACTATCCATTTGGATAAAAAATCAGAATTAAAGAAGAATGCTATTGAGCCAAAACATAATTCAGAATAAAGCTCT